CATCAACTTTCTGCTTAAGTCCTTTTTCACATGGCAGGCATCCGGGTTAGCCACGTTGAGGGAGCAGTCAGTAACTAAGTACTCCAGGGGTAAGAAAGTTGGGAAAGAATGGGGTTTTTGATCAAGCTCCTGCCTTGCTTATAATGAGTTACGGTAGAATGTAAGCTTCGGGCCAATGAAAATAATTCTAAAATGCACCTTGCTGCCACCACATCCTGATCCGTCTGCCCTGCCCCTGCCACAGCCCCACTGAAGTCCGGGGGACAGCCACGTCTAGAACAGCCAGTCTGGGGCACCTCCAGGGCCACCCTGCTCCTCCTCTGGTAGAAGTCGGTGGGTGTGGGCAACCCAGTGAGCTGGGCGTGACAGGTGAAACACCCCACTCTCTCTTTCCTCACTCACGGAGGGACAGCCATAAAAAGCAGAGGCCCTGATAGAGACAGATCAACTGAGGGCGGCGAATCCCTCTTGCAAGCTGCTGGCCTTAGCAGGGAAATGGAAGGAAGAACACATTTCCTCCTGGTAAAGCGAAGGCCCCCGCCCCGGCCTGGCCCCCGTCACCCTGTCAGAACACAATCTTGGTGGAAACCAGCTCCATTAACTGCAAAGCACAGGCACTGAAATAAATGAAACCAAAGATCAGATAATGAATTTTTCTCTCAGTAGAAAATAAAAGAAGTTGAAATGTGGTGGTGGGGAAGGATTTTCTCCCTTTCTCCTTCTTACTCTTTTTTCGTTTTGAACTAAAAAAAAAAAAAATATGAAGTTTTTAATTTGTTACTCCAATATTACTTCTGGTGAAGTAAAATAAAAATCTGGAGTTTTCTACATTTATATGTGGGAGGAGTAAGAAGTTATCACCAGAAAAGAGCTATTTCCTTTCAAAAGAACTTAAGGATTTCATACCGCTCAGAAATGAGTAAAATTACTTATGGGTTTAAACAGAAATCAACATAACTTACAGGTCTATCCTATTTTAACTCTTTACAACAAAACAAGTTAAGAATGTTTTATTGGTTAAATCATCCCCTAAGCTCCACTAAAACGTGTTTGTCCTTGATTAAATACCTAGACTCCATTAACACGTGTTTGCTATCTTAGAGGATATGGGGGAGCCTCCAATTCCCTAATTTATTTTCTACCAGAAAGGACAATCCTTCTGATCCAATTCAAAATGGTTCTTACAAAACACAAACTTATTTATAGATTTATGCTGAGAGACTGTCACACAGAAATGGAGAACAGTAGGTATTTCAAGAAACCCATGAGATGACACCTCCTGGACAAGCTTTTGTAATCCATGAAAACTTGGTCTGAGCAATATGACCTAAAAATCAGTGAAGGCAATGACATTTCTTCTTTTAAAAAAATTTAGATAAAGATTGACACCTATTATTTTGCTAAATTCCAGAAGTGAGAAGGTAGTAATTGTATTCCCAAAGGTCCAGATTCTGTTTGGGACAGCCATACACAGGAAATCAATCAGCATCTGGAGAAACATAAAATTACAGGAGTCAGCGGGCTTGGGTTGTCATCAATCCCGAAGAGCAAGCCAGGGAGGCTCTTCTGTCTTCACAGAAGTCGGCAAAAGTCTGACTGTCCAGGTCACAGCTCCATTCGATTTGTCCCTTTCCCGCCAAAAACTAACGGTAACTACTTAAAGGAGCTTCCCATGACTGAAACCAGTCACACCTGCCTGGCAGGAGCACTGGGCTCTACGGTCCCTTTACACATGGGTAAGAAGCAACATCAGAAAGGAGGCTTCCTCCAGGATTCCAAGGTACAGTTGGGGAACTTCACCTGGGTACTGTGAACATCGCATTCAAATGTGTCCCTTCCGAGAGCTGGTGCGGGGGGATGGTATCACTATTTCCAAACAGAGTGGCTGCACAGGCCTTCAGACCAGAATGCAAATAAGAAAGTTACAAGTTAGTTAACTGACCTAAAGAAACAAGCCATCTAGAAACCAAAGCCACCCATCCAGGAAATGCATAGGGAAGTGTTTAATAAAAGTTACTCAGTGGGCAGCCATCAGGAATTCTGGATAAAGGTGAGTCCAGACCCTTTGACCCAACAGGGGCAGGAGCCCGACTCTGCTTTTGGCAACTATGTGACCTCAGCTGCCATACCCACCCTTCTCCTTGTTCCTAACAGTCCAACGGGAAGGTATTGACCTTGTAGTAGTCTTGGGAAGTCAATATAAGCCTCACGTACTGCACCTAGTATATAATGAATGCTCCATAAACACAGTACATATGTTACCCACATACATATATTCATCTATAATATAAATCACATGTGATAAATATATCCCTACTATGCTAATATATTCCACCCCAATACACATTATCAAACATTTACATATGTGCATAACACACACACACACTATAACATACACAAGGGCTGTCCAGAAAGTACCCAGCCATGTAACTGCATCTTAGTATATTAACAAATGGCTGGATACTTTCTGGACAGCCCTCATGTATGTGCATATTAAGGGTGACAAATACAGCATACTATGTGATTTCAAATATGGAAATACTGGGATTTTTAAAATAGACTTTTTTAAAGAGCAATTTTAGATTCACAGCAAAATTGAGCTACAGGACAGAGATTTCCCATATACCCCTGTCCCTTACAATCTCCCTAAGTGCTGCCTCAGTTGCCTTGAAAACAGTGAAACCCAGATCTGTAAAACTGGGTTTACTCACCATTGTGAGACCTCTGGAAGTGAAACATGTGCGTGGATATTTAGAGTGACTGATTTCACAGTTCTTTTTAAAAAAAATTTTAGAAATTCAGGGTGGCTCACGCCTGTAATCCTAGCACTCTGGGAGCTGAGGGAGGAGGATTGCTTGACCTCAGGAGTTCAAGGCCAGCCCAAACAAGAGTGAAGACCCCCTCTCTACTAAAAATAGAAAAATTTGCCAGGCATGGTGGCACGAGCCCGTAATCCTAGCTACTCAGGAGGCTGAGGCAGGAGGATTGCTCGAGCCCGGGTGTTTGAGGTTATGGTGAGCTACGATGACACCACTGCATTCTACTTGGGGCGATAGAGCAAGACTCTGTCTCAGAAAAAGGAAAAAAAAAAGAAAAAAAAATTTTTTTAATTAATTTTTTTAGACATAATGTCTCACCAATGTTGCCCAGGTTGGCCTTGAACATCCCTTTCCCCTCCCTTCCTTCTCCCTTTCCCCTCCCTTCCTCCTCCCTTTACCCCTCCCTTCTTCTTCCCTTCTCCCTCCCTTCCCTCTTCCTTTCCCCTCCCTCCTTCTTCCCTTCTCCCTCCCTTCCCCCTTCCTTGCCCCTCCCTCCTTCTTCCCTTCTCCCTCCCTTCCCCCTTCCTTTCCCCTCCCTTCTTCTTCCCTTCTCCCTCCCTTCTGCCTTCTGTCTCCCTCCCTTTCCCCCTTCCTTTCCTCCTCCCATCTGTCCCTCCCTTCCGTCCTCCCTCCCCCTCTTGCTTTCCCCCTTGTTTTTCCCCTTCCTTCCCCCCTTCCTTACCTCCTTCCTTCCTTCTTCATGCAGCACCATGATGGAAAGAGGTAAGTTTTAAATGGTGACAATACTGTTGGGGTCAAATGGAAAATACAATCATAGCAACCACTTTAAGCTCAGTTGCCTGTTATTTAGAATTTGAGGGACATTCTAAGTAAACTTTTCATGGAGAAAGCCAAGGCTGACCTTTATTTTCCTGTATTTGGAGTGCTATGCAATTTCTCAAAGGTCAATTTTCTTTGGCCAAATAATTGCATAGTAACATTCTACCTGCATTATATATCCTGATAGTAAGGTAATATACTGGAAATGCATTTGCCTGATATTTTTCCCGAAGACACCTTGGAGTTCACTTAAAATCTTATTTCCTTTCCCAGACACTTGTGCCTGTGGAGATTTGTCTCATGCATACCTCTTGTGTCTGCTTTTCTTTGTACCCAGGTCTTCTGCCTTATCTAGTAGCCCGACATATTCGGACCTGCCCTTCATTAGGATCTCCCCGCACCGGAACCCCGCTGCAGCTTCCGAGTCTCCCTTCAGCCCCCCGAACCCCTACATTAACCCTTACATGGACTATATCCGGTCTCTGCACAGCAGCCCATCCCTGTCCATGATCTCGGCCGCCCGGGGGCTGAGCCCCACAGACGGTAAGACCCAGACAGATTCTGTTTCCAGAGAACAAGCCACCCCCTCCCTGCATCCCTCCTGGGATGTTGTATAAAGCAAATCTAAAGTTTAGTGAATGTTTCCCATGTGCCAGACATGTGCTAAATGCTTTGCATGCATGATTTCATCTCAACAGCACAACCCCTCTGTGTGGATGATATTATTGTCTCCATTTTCAGGTAAGGATAGCAGTGTGCAGAGGGGTCAAGTGTCTTGCAACCCAGTCATCCACTCATCCTTGTATCATGAGTGGCAGAGGTGGGACTCAAAGCCAGATCTTACTGACTCCCAAATCCTTGCTCTTAACTGCTATTCTGTGCTGCTTCACGTATGATTAGACTGGCCGATAGCCATTCACACATGTGCCTGAGTAACCTGAGCATTTTACTCACCTTCTGATGAGCTCTGTTCTGTGTGTGTGAGGCACATCCATGCAGACGTGTGTGTTAGAGCAGGGCCTTCGCGAACGTTAATGTGCATGCGAATCACCCGGGGGGGGGGGGGGCCTGATAAAATTCGGTTCTGCATCAGATGGAGCCAAGTGGGCCCTGAGATTCTGTGCTTCTAAAAACCTGCCGGTGATGTTAGTTCTCTTGGCCCGTGGATTACACCCTGAGTGTGCAAGGTCTTAGAAAACATGATGGCCCAGACCTGTTGCATGTGCTATGCCAAATGAATACTAGAAGAAAGATGTAATGAAAAAAGAAATGAACTCAGACTTTATTTCTGTAATGCTTGATGCTCAGTTTAGACTCTCAAGTATCAAATTCCTGTTGGTTCTCTTAGCCTCCCAATTAACTACTTTTCGCATGACTCTTCTTAATTAGAGCTATGTATTCACCATTCTTTTGATTCAGGAAAAGAATTTTACATCTCATGCACACATACAAATTCACCTGCCCACATTTGCTGGAATCTGAATTAAGATCCAGAATTGCTTTAGCCTTATTAATTGTAGGTAGAGGGTTGTGAGTTCTTTGGAACAGTCATAAGTCACCGATGCTTGTTTCAGAAAAAAGACAAACACCATGCACCTCACTTCATTGGAGATGCTTGATGTGACTTCTGTGCACAGTCCACATTCTCCATGCCGACTGCTTCCTGAGGCTGGCTGTGCATGGTGGGAAGCTGCACGAAGTTTCTTAGGAAACATCCACTCAGTTGAATATCCAGGCGTAGCTTTCCTCCAGCAATAGCCGCTGGCTCGGTTTTTTTCTTCTGATCCAGTGCAGTGAATACACTTGTATCTAAGGAATATGTTTTGCTTTGGGCAAGATTCACATTTTAAAATAAAACTGTAAAAATCAAATAAGAGTTAGTTTCTACTTTAGATTTGATCTCATAATGGGAAAACTGGAGCGTCTTCTCCTGGGAATGCTTGGGAGTTGGTAGAAATGACTAAGAAGGACAACATAGAAGGAAAGGGAAGCTGGCTTAACAAGGACTTGGTATTTTCCTGGTTTTTGGAAATCTTTTTGGGCCAGTGGAAAGTGGTCCCTTCAGTTAACTATTGAAAAGCATGTTTATCATTTGTTCCATAGCATTTGATGATGAGTATGAATGAAACATTCTTTTTGATGAGTTGATCTGACTACTTTTCCCTGTTTCTCAAGAATCCAGTTAATATAGGCAAATACAGTAATATCACTGATATTTCTGCCTTGTGGTCTAAAAGGTTTTTTTCCCCCTTAAACCTCTCTGTTTACCATGTATATAGGTAAGAAGTATATGAACACAAATATAAAACATCACAGACCTATTGCTAGAGTGCTGGTGTTTCCTAATTGTAAAATTAACTTCTTTTGATCAAATGCCGTGTGCTAAGTGTTTTACCTGCATCATTTCATGTTTTGCTCTCAACAACCTCATGGAGCTGCTGTAAATGCAGATCTCTGTGAATCTGGAGGCCACCCTCAGAACTGCTACGATATCTTCTTGCTGCTTCTGCACATAAATTGGCAGGTGGAAGCTGATTATTATCCTACCTTAGAAAGCTGACTCTTGCCATTAAATTGCTCCAGATTGATAGGTATATATATTTTTTTGATTTTTGTAGAAAAAAAGGAAAAGAGAGCTTTTAAATTATTGAAATGCAAATTGCAGCTTATCATTTAGTTGTGTGTGATTAAAGCTGTGCTGCCTTTTTTCCACTTTTTAAACTGTGACTCCTCATGTTAGTGAGAGTTAACTCAGACACTCTTATCAGAAGGCTTAGGAAGGTATTTTAAGTGTGTCTGGAAAGATACCATAGTCGTGCAAGTTTCTGCTGTTGCAAGAAATGTGAACACAGGATGATTTCATGTAAGAAACTATCTTATTTGGGGAGGTAAACATGGTTAGTCATATATACATTTTAATCATTCTGAATTCTTGATGATTTATTTAGACCAGTATCCAAAACCGTGTAATATATATTTCACTTTATTTTTTCCTTCAGTTTTATTTTTAAATAAAAGATGTCTAAAGACAACGGTGAAAGCACAATTTCAGTTAAAGGAGCTTTACTCTAATGAGCTGTAAAAGGAATTGCTGACGTAGGATGCATGGGAAGTGGCTTTGGGATGCCTCGAGGGAAGCTTCTTGTTGACTTCTTCTGACTAGTAACTATACCATTCTTATCTCCTCTTCTAGCCTCGCACCTGGGCAGCCAGCGGAATACTATCATCACATGGCTCTGTTAGCCGGCCAGCGCAGCCCCTATGCAGACATCATTCCCTCGGCTGCCACCGCCGGTGCCGGAGCCATCCACATGGAATATCTTCATGCCATGGACAGTAAGTGGCAGGGCTGTTTTCTGGAGTCAAGGGAAGAACGGTGAAGCACAGAGGATTGTCAGGGCAGTGAGACTGTTCTGCGCCATACTGAAGCCTGGTACATGTGCAAACCCCATAGAATGCGTAACACCAAGCCTGATGTAAACCGGGACTCGGATAGATATGTATCAGTGCAGGTCATCAGTGAACAATTCTGGTGGGAATGTTGATAATACGAGCTGTTATTGTTGTAGTGTATCATGTATTATGGGCAAATTCGGTCCCGTAGCCAATTTGCTGTGAAAAATCTCTTTAAAAAAGTCTATTTTAAATTCCAGTATTTCCATATTGAAATCAATTATCCGCTGTATTTGTAGCCTTAATTAGCACATTATATCGAGGCGTCAGCATGTATTCAGCATTGTAATACCACCATCAGTTACATTGTGCTTGGTACTTTCTGTACAGCCTGATTCCGTTATATGTATTTTGTGTGTATATACTAGACAGTAATGCACAAAGTAAAGTTGTGTTATGTGTGGGGTTGGAATATATTGCACAGGAGGTGATATATTTAATCACATGTTGATTTTTATATAGAGAGAGTTTATATGAATGCGTATACATATGTATCATTGTTAATGCAGCATTCATGATATACTAGGCTGCAGTACGTGAGGTCTTATATGACTTCCCTTAAGATTAATACTATTAGTTGTCGATTAACTCTTCCCGTTGATCTGTTAGGTAAAAGGAGAAGGGTGGATGGCAGCTGAGGTACATATTCCAAAAGTCATGATCTGCCCTGCCCCTGTGGTCAATAGGTCTGAATCACCTTTATCCCAGAAATGCACGATGGCCGCTCACTGAGTAACTTTATTAAACACTTCCCTATGCATTTCCTGGAGTGGTGGCCTTGTTCCTAGATGGCGTGTTTCTTTGTCTATTAACTAACTTGTAACTTACTGTCGCATTCTGGTCTGAAGCCTGTGCATGCCACTCTGTTGGAAATAGGTGATACCTCGCCCGTCCGGTAAGTGACACATTGGAATGCGAGTTTCCACTGTTCCTCAGGTGAAGGTCCCAACTGTACCTTGGATCTGGAGAAGCCCTTCTGAGTTCTTCTTACCCATGTGTAAAGGACCGTAGAGCCCAGTGCTCCTGCCAGGGCAGGTGGACGGTTCAGCATGAACCTCCTTTAAGTAGTACCGTTAGTGTTTTGGCGGGAAAGGCAAACGAAATGGAGCTGTGACCTGGACAAGTCAGACTTTTGCCGACTTTGTGAGACAGAAAGCCTCCCTGGCATGGCTTCGGATGAGACCAACCCAAGCCCCGCTGACCCTGTAATTATAGTCTCCAGAGCGATTGATTTCCTGTGTATGGTCCAAACAGAATCTGGACCTTGGGAATACAATTACACCTTCTCCACTTCTGGAATTTTGCAAAATAAAGGTGTAATCCTTATCTACAATCTTTTTAAGACAGCAATGTCATTGCCTCACTGGATTTAGTCATATTGCTCAGACCAACCTTTCATGGATTACAAAAGCGCCAGGAGGTGTCACTCATGGGTTCTTGAAATATCCTACTGTTCCCATCGTGCGACCAGTCTCCAGCAAGAATCTATAAATTGTGTTTTGTAAGAACTCTATTTTGAATTGGATCAGAAGATTGTCCTTTCGGAGAAATACAATTAGGGAATTGGAGCTCCCTATATCCTATAAAAGCAAACACGTGTTAAGATCAGGATTTAATCAAGGGACAAACAGTTTAGTGGAGCTAGGGCAGATTAACCAATAAAACATTTTAACTGTTGTTTAAACGAGTTAAAATAGGAAAGACCGTAAGTATGTGATATCGTTTAACCCATAAGAACTTCCTCATTCGAGCGAGAAATCTTAAGTTTTGAACCGTACCAAAGCCCTTTTTGGTGATGAACTTCTTTTAAACTTCCCCCTCCCACCCAAATATAAATGTAGAAAACCCAGATTTTATTTACCTCACCAGAATAATAATTGGAGGACCAAATGTAAAACCTCATTTTTATTTTATTTTTTTCTTATTTCAAACTAAAATAAGAGTAAGAAGGAAAAGGGACGTAAAATCCTCCCCACCACCCATTTCAACTTTTTTATTTTCACGAGAGAAAATCAATTACTGATCGTTGTTCATTTATCTTCAGTGCTGTGCTTGCGCCTTAAGAGCTGTCTTCCCAAGATTGTCCGCGA